GATTCTGATAGGGTACCACAGTACAGGTGCATACAAGCTCTATTGTCCAGAAACCAATAAAATTGAATTCAGCAGAGATGTGATTGTGAAGGAATCAGAAGTTTGGAATTGGGATAAGTCTCAATCTGATTATGATGTTAGAACTTCTGAAGAAAGGTCAGAGTTAAGAATTTCTGAAGTTGAAGTAAACTCTGACGTTGATTCTGACTCTGATAGTGATTCTGACTCTGGAGAAAACTCAGAAGATGAAGGTGACTCTGATGATCCAGACTCTGATGGTAATCCAGATTCTGGTGGAAATTCAGACTCTGAAGATGGCCAAGACTCTGGAAATATGCCAGATCCTGAAGTTGGTCAAAGCTCTGGAGAAAGTCAATCATCTGAAGCTCAAGACTCTGAACAAGTTCAGAGACCACAAAGAATCAGAAGCATTCCCAGAAGATTTGCAAAATTTGACATGCTGCAAGACACTGAAGTAGACTCTGAAGGAGAAGTTATTCAGTGTGCCATGTTAGTAGACTCTGAACCTATAAGTACAAAGGAGGCTCTTAAGCAGAAGCTCTAGCTGAAGGCCATGAAAGAAGAACTTGATGCTATAGAGAGAAACAAGACTTGGAAGCTGACAGAACTTCCAAAAGACAAGAAAGGCATCAGCGTTAGATGGGTTTTCAAGCAGAAGTTAAAGCCAGATGGTTCAATTGGCAAACATAAAGCAAGTTTGGTAGCCAGAGGATTTCTACAGAAACCTGGGCTGGATTATTCTGAAGTGTTTGCACCTGTAGCAAGACATGAAACAATCAGAATGGTGATTGCAATAGCTGCTAACAGGAATTGGCCTCTGATGCATTTAGATGTAAAATCTGCATTTCTGAATGGTCCATTAGAAGAAGAAGTTTACGTGTCACAACCTCCTAGATTTGTGAAAAAGAATCAGGAAGGGATGGTGTACAGATTATACAAAGCTCTATATGGATTGAAACAAGCGCCCAGAGCTTGGAATCAGAAGATTGATTCATTTTTCAAGAAGCAAGGCTTTCAGAAATGTGAGATGGAGTACGGTGTCTATGTTCAGCATACTTCTGAAGACAATATGACTCTGGTATGTTTATATGTTGATGATATACTACTGACTGGAAGTTCTGAACAGGAGGTAGCCAAGTTCAAGAAGGTTCTAATGAATGAATTTGAAATGACTGATCTAGGCAAAATGACATACTTTCTAGGGATGGAGTTCAGATATTCTGAGAAAGGTATCATTTTGCATCAGCTCAAGTATGAATTAGAACTTCTGAAGAGATTTGATCTGAAGAATTATAAGATGGCTGTCACACCTTCTGATACAAATCAGAAACTGGATTCAGACTCTGAAGGAAAGGATGTGGATGCTACAACCTTCAAATAGTTGGTTGGTTCTCTGAGGTATCTGTGCAATACCAGACCTGATATTTGCTACTCAGTTGGGACGGTTAGTAGGTTCATGAGTAAACCTAAGTGGTCCCATTACCAAGCTGCTGTCAGGATTCTGAGGTATATCAAAGGAACTCTGAAGTATGGAGTGTTATTTCCCTCTGGAGGAAATAATGAGTCAGAACTTTTGAGTTATTCAGACTCTGATTGGTGTGGAGACAGAGTTGACAGAAGAAGTACATCTGGGTACTTGTTCAAATTTCTGGGAGGTTCCATTTCTTGGTGTTCCAAGAAGCAACCTGTTGTGGCGTTGTCAACCTGTGAAGCTGAATACATTGCAGGTGCTGTTACTGCATGCCAAGCTGTGTGGATTCTGAATCTGTTGCAGGATCTGAAGATTAAAGTAGACAAACCTCTGAAGTTGATGATTGACAACAAGTCTGCAATAAATCTTGCTAGAAACCCAATGTTGCATGGGAGAAGCAAACATATTGAGACCAAGTATCATTTTCTGAGACATCAAGTTCAGAGTGGAGTGTTAGAAGTTGTACACTGCAGCACTCAGAAGCAGTTGGCAGATGTTCTGACGAAAGCTATCAAGACTGATCAATTTCTCAGACTAAGGGATGAAATTGGTGTTACAAGTTTTGATGGAATATGAATTAAGGGATGATATTAGAATATTAATAGTAATTCATATTTATTTAGTTGTACTATTTTCCTTAGCCCCTAAGTTTGTTAGAGGGTATTTTAGTATTTTATCTTATTCTAGTAACCCTAGTTTTAGCTTATAAATAGGGTGACAATCATTGTAACTTTTAATCATGTTTTGTAGCCGTCATTCTTAATAGAATATTTCCTCTGTTCATCATTTATTCACCTTTGCACCAACACATACAATGTTAGAAACAAAAGGATCCAAAGAATCAAGGTTGTTGAAACACAACCCCGAAATATCGCGCCGCCATATCGACCCCGCTCTCTTGCCTTTAATGAGTCCCATCTGGAATTCCTCCTACGTTAAGTTCGACTTAAAGTATCTAAACTCCAAGAGCTCTCTCCATAACTCCAGCTTGTCGTTAATAAACCTCCATCTCCATTTGAGCATCAAGGATTTGTTAAAAACTACCACACCCTTGGTACCCAATCCGCCTTTCTCTATAGGGCGAGAAACAAATCTCCAACTTACCCAGTGAATTGTCTTAATAGTTACCCCACCTCTCCATAGAAAACTACTATGTATCCTAACGATCTATTTAAGAACTGAAATCGGAGCCTTATAGAAAAAAAGAGAAAAAAACTAAGATAACGTTGGAAACGGAATTTTAGTTTTGTCCCATTCCAAACACTGATATTCCAATGTCTGAAGGACACAACTCCCACAAAGTTTATTGTCATCACCCAAAATCCTAAAGATCACAATCTTCCTCCTCATCATACATCTTCCTCCTAGACATAAGCTAATAAATAGAATAACTTAAAACATAAAAGTTATCTTGCTACATCAAAACTACTTCAAATAATACGTCTATTATTTAGTGGGCTCGAAAAGCATGTCTACCCCATGATGAATTTTTGGATAACGATTTAAAGCAATTAAGAATAGTTAATATTCTTTTAATTTTTTTAAATTATCAAATAAATATTGAAATATATAGTTTAGTCCTTAAAAATCCTCCCCTCCAAACAAATTCAATCCTACTTGTAAGGGAAAGAATCAAGTGCTACTTGTTCAATTGAGGATATGGTTTGATAATTTATTCTAAACACAAAATAAGTAGGATTCGCTTTGATGTGAAAAAGTTTATGAGAATATATCCATCATGAATTGCATCTCATGCAACAAGTTCATACCTATCCGCATTTGTACCGCATGATGGATAAGTATCCCTACCTTTTTCAAGTAAAAATTAATATATTTGTGATATTGAGACTATCTAATTTTTGATCTAATGATCTATATTACTTCACATGTATTTTATGCAATTAAGCACAAACATGATCAATTATATAACTTGAGAAACTGATATAAAATGCAGTTGTTTAAAAACAAGATTAACAAATATTGTAAATATTTTCTTTGTTCAATAGTCAAGCCAATTATTTTAGGAATTTATTTTCTCACTTTTATATTTTTTCATAAATTTTTGAAAAAAATTTAAAAATATAATTAAAATTTTGAGACGCATGTCTGAACGCAACTAATTTCCATAAAATGTATATTTTAATACACCATTTTTTAAAAAAAAAATGATATTTTCTGTAAACTGTCCTGTTGTGTTTTAAAAAAATAGTATGGAATGAATTCGGGTAGACAAATCTAATATTCATGTATCATCAATAAAATAAATATGTAAATACCAATAATGTTTCTATTGAATTAAAATAATTAAAAATAAAAAATAATTTAAATAAAATAATAAAAAAAATCTAAAAATACAACTAAAAATCAAATAAAATCAAATTAAGACTCTACAAATCTTTTTTGATTTTTTTCGAATATACGAAAACAGAAAATAAATCAAATAAAATAGAAATACAAGGAACTTAGGAGTTTTAGGATGGTATCCTGTATTTAGTCCTAATATACAAGACTTTTATTATTGAAATTTTTCTGATGAAATAGTACGGTAAATTTAAAAAAAAAGTTCTTTTTTTATATTCTAGGTCATGTAAAGGTGAGAAACGTAGGAACAAAATGGCTAGAACGTGAGGATATAATTTTTAGGATTTAATATTGGTTAAAATTAATAGAGAGAATCCGACAACGGTGTCAACTTCACTGAAAAATGTATAGTAAATAGTATTTAGGATTTTCAGAGATACATCTTTGAATTCATTCTTGAAATTTTCGTATATTCATTTTCAAATTAAATTTTAGCAAAAATAAGATGACTACTTGATTTATAAAAAATGCAGTTATTCAAAGTATGTTATACATTTTTGAAAATTTCTGAAAACAATTTTAAATTTTCATAAATTTGAGATGCACCACAAATGTGGAAAATGAAAATCCCTTTCTTTTTTGTTTTTATGGAAATATCTATCACCTTCCCATCATGGGCCTATGGCTTATGTTTTTCGTTTATAATAGTAGTTAAATCGGGCCTTATCAAAGACAGAATAATCGAAAATTTATTTCATCTAAAAAAGAAATAAATATTTTTTATTAAATATTTAGCCTCATAACATAAAAACAAAATGAAGTAAATATAAAGATTAACTATCTTTTATTAAAATATGTAAAAGCAACTATATATATAAAATCATACATAAGGAGATTTATCATAGCAACTCTAGTGCCTTTATTTTTAATCTCTTATACAGCAACATACAAACCATAAACCATCGAATATATATATATATATATATATATATATATATATATATATATATATATATATATATATATATATATATATATATATATATATATATATATATATATATATATATATATATATATATATATATATATATATATATATATATATATATATATATATATATATATATATATATATATATATATATATATATTCAACTTCATTATTACTTGCATATACCATATTTATAATCACAAATAGATATAACTATTTGTAAATGTTCCTTGTGGATGCGTCAGAGTTACCCTCAGTATACCCTCCATTGCCATTACCATAGAAAGTACCACTGTTTTTTACGGTACGCTCTCCATGATTGTTGGTGGTGCGGTATTTCTTTCGGTCCCCGGAATTTGAACCGCTGTTGATTCTGGCACTGGAGAAGTCTTGGTTTCCGCTACCACGGTTGTTAAATGCGTTAGCAGTACCATGGTTGTCCGATTTTGCAGCTTCGGCTTCTTCAGCCTCCAGCATGGCGATGAGGTTTTTGAGCACACGAGATGACATTCTTATAAATTTAGTTGAAAATTGGTATTAGAATTTTTGTATTTGGATGGTTCTAATGTTGCAACCCAAACCTTATTATATAGATCTCTGGAAAGGAATCTCATGCGTTTGCTTGCTTGTTCACTCGAAACTATATAGAATATTGTTTCTTATCTTATGATTTTTAAGAATTTTGCTTTTTTTTTTTCAATAGCAAAATAAAATATATTAAAAGTAAGTGGGGAATAAACTACTCAATAAAGTATATCCGATGTAGGGCTGGAAATGAGTCGAGTCGAGTCGAACTCACCTCAGCTCGGCTCGACTCGTTAAGAATTGTTCGAATTCGAGTTCGAGTTCGAGTTTGACACGAACTTTTTTTTAAGCTCAAACTCGACTCGTTATAAGTTCACGAACAGTTCGGTTCGACTCGTTAGGTTCATCTCATTAGGTTCAGCTCACATGGTTCACGAACTTAAAAACTATTTTTTTAAATATATATATTTTTTTAGTATATTTGACATTTTAAATAAATATATATATTTTAAATAAAATATTAAAATAAAATAAAAGTTATCATATTGAAATTTAACTTTATCTTCGAAATCTACTAATTCAAAACCTACACAACTTTCAAGAGATACATTTGAGAGTCTAATTCAAAAACTACTAAATTGAAGATTAAATTTGTCTAAGATTTGAAATAAATATTTAAACCTAATCTTAAAGACAGTATAATTCTTTTCATATGTAATCGAGTTGACTCATGAACCTAACGAGTCGAACTATGTATAGTTCAAGTTCAGCTCATTTAGTTAACGAACTTAATTTTTCGCTCATACTCAACTCATTTGGTTCATGAACCTAGTTCAACGATTTAATTGTCGAGTCGAATTCCGAACTATCTTCGAGTTGGTTTGGTTCATTGCCAGCCCTAATCCGATGGCATTTTAGATATAGCACAAAATGTGCTCAGCTGAACACACTAAAAAAAACAAGGATTAATCAAAACTAGAAAGAAAGAAAAAAAAGCATGTACCAAAACTAGCATGTACCACCTCTTAAGAGCTAGAATTTAGATCTCACACTGTTATAAAATATATCTTTCGTTCAATTAATTGTAGACATAATTCGTTTTTAAGTATTTTTTAGTTTTTATTTTTTATTTTTATTAAAAGATATTTCACTACGGTTTATATTAACAATCATGAAAAATGTACCTGAAATGACATACTTCGAATCTCAATACCAACAATTTTCTATTTTTTCATTACAAAGAAGGTTTATCCTTGTATTACCATAGTTAGGATCAGAAACGGTTGAAAAAGATAATTACATTTCATTTCAGGTTTTTATTATCAACCATGGTGAAAAGTATTTCATATATATATATATATATATATATATATATATATATATATATATATATATATATATATATATATATATATATATATATATATATATATATATATTATATATATATATATATATATATATATATGATATATATATATATATATATATATATATATATATATATATATATATATATATATATATATATATATATATATATAAGCAAAATTGTCCTGCTTCAACACATAACATCCTTCTTTCTCTAAGCAAAACCCTACCATCTCTCTCACACCTTATTCTAATCTCCATTAACGTTTCCGCACTATTTTTTCACAAACATGCAAGATTGAAACACCAAACTTATTTTCCTTCACCTTAAAAACCCACATGCAGCGAACCCATCTTCTTCGATGAGTTATCTTTGTTGTATCAAAGCTTACAGCCTGTGATTTAACTCCACCAAATCTTAAAAAATAGCAATGTTACAAGTTAGTCTTCACAAGACTTATAATTTCTCCAAATCTTCTTTCATGGTATTTGCTACATTACAAGTTTATGTTATCTACTACTGGATCAATCTTTTATGTTTTCTAATCTAGTTAACATGTTGTTTGTTCAAGAAAGCGATAATGGAGATTATAGAAGCAAACTTTTATGATTATAGAAGTGTATGTTCAAGAAAGTGTTAGTGGAGATTATAGAAGTGACAATATTGTTGGTTTATGGATTATAGAAGTATATGGATTAGAAGTGAACTTTCTGCATCTATTATAACTATAATGTCATGCTAATACATTTTAACTAGTAAGTAGGGAAGGTGAATGAAAAAAATTATCTCAAGATACTCCATACTATGTGTCATACCACAAATTTGTCATATCCTTCCATTCAAATCTTATGACTCATGCATCTCATTCTCTTCATGTGCATACCCTACATTAGGTCATCTAACACATCATGCATTCATTAATATTAGAGCTTGGTACTTGAATCAGAGGTCTTGAAGAATTAGGGTTCATATATTGCGCTAGAGTTTCATTTCTCCTACAATTTTGTTTCAATGAAAGATGCAAATATCAGTGAATTATGTTTCGTCCCTTATTCTGAAGGTCATTTAATTCTAAGGGAAGCTATATAAATAT